GTAGTAGGCTCGCTCATAGGCGCTCGGCCATACTAGGCTCTGTATCTCGGCCATTCTGGGCTCGCTCATAGGCGCTCGGCCACAGTAGGCTCGGTATATAACTTACCATCTGATCAGAGGTTGCTCAATAGGGGCCTGCCCACCGATTATAGCTCGATGGTGGTGAAAATATTGTAATACTATATATATATATATATATACACACACACACACTCTCTCTCTCTCTCTGCTATCTTGGCTGAAAGAATACAATACTAAACTGAATATGAAGTCCCGATAAGGGAGAATACTGTAACTTCTGAGACTAGGATAATGTGAATAAATTCAAGAATACAAACATCTCTTTATGCCTCGTTATCAAACTCATGTAGTTACGGGTTCATGCCAAAATGAAGAAAGGTTTAGCCTTAACATACCTTATCACAATCTTTCCAATCACCAACTTGAACTCGCCTTTTCTCACCTTAATCTACAACAACGATAATAATACTATTATTAAGTTACGAAAGGTACAACTAATGCACAACGAACGACAAGCTTATTTTGTATTAAAACGAACAGCATCTCCCCTATAATCCTTACTTCCTCCAAATTCAATATAATACCAAAAACAACAATAACAATATATATACATTATTTTCCAACCTTATGTACACCACACAATACTACAAAACAGTCCAACACACCCCAATCTCTTCATACACAAAATGACCACCGTAGTAGTGTCAACAACCCGAAAATGTTACGACGAACGACCAGCCCAAAATACTGCATTTATGTGGTGTTTATCCACACCCTTCCTCCTCCAAAACTCCACAAAACAGTAGTAAAACACGCAGCCCAACAGCACCACAAAACAGTCCGCTACAAGTTAATAACTCGAACTTACGGCTTCCGATCATCGTCCCGTGAGTTCTTACAAATATAGAACGACTTACTATGCATCTACAGCAGAAAAAATGGATGAAAGAGAGCAGTAAACTTACCTTATTTGTTGGATAACTCGGCTCCTATCTTGGTTCTTCAAACTCTAGGCTTTACCTCCAATTAGAACTTGAAAGGGAGAGAAAATCAATTTGGGTTTATGGGAAATTTGTGGGAGGATTTTTGTAGAGATTAAGTCTGGTTATTTTTCCCTATTATCAGCCTAATATATGAAGGGGATAAGCCTTTAAAAAGGCCTCTTTGAACGACCCGAACAGGCCCATTTTTGGACGACCCGAACATGCCCAGTTTTGGATTCTCGTTTAAGCATGTAGGTGACAGTCTGCGCAGTCTAGCAAAAATGGCCATATCTCTCTACTCTGATATCGTATTGATAAACGGTTTAATGCATTGGAAAATAGACTCATAGAGATGTATTTTGATGTATGGAACACCCCATAACTCTACGTATATTGGGAGAAAATGGCATTTACATTTGACCCAAAGGTTCAGTAAAACTTATGAACGTAACTTGTGATGACTTTCATCGACTTTTGTTCCACTTCTCGCTTGACTTCAAAACATAACACACGACTATCATACGACTAACATAACTCATAACATAACCTCCTTATCATGTTAAACATCCTGGTCTCACTCCATGCTATAACATTCCCAATTTGTCGACTTTCGACGAAACATTAGGTTTTTCAATTCCTTTAGCTTTTGAACCTTCCAACCATCTTTGTACTTGTTGTTCATTATCTTCAATATTTGTAACCTCCGAGGTAATATGATTAACTTACTTTGTAAATTTTTCAAATATGATTTCATTTCTGAGCTTACATCAATTGACTTACGACGTACTCGTACGTACGAAAATATGGGTTGTAACAAATATGAAGCGTAAGTATGATTCTGTCTTTAATTTCTATTCGTTGTTTTTACTTTTTTATCCTTTCTTATCAGCGTTTTTCTCAATGCAACCGTTACTTGGATGTCGGGTGTGGTTCCCCACCCCGAGAACTGGGTTAGGATCCTGGTTTCGACGTCAACATATGCCGAGCGCGCATGGCGTGATTTGTCAAAGGGCCGGTGGGAGGCTCGTACTCATGGTAAGCCTTCTTCCTGACTTACCGATTTGCCTATAGTTCAAGCATCTTCTCAAACATGAGTTTACTTACTTTATCCTTTTGCAGGTCTCGGAAAGGATACGACTATGAAATCCCCGCCTGGTGATGAAGAAGTTTCACCACCTATTTTGAAACCGGCAAAGGAGAATAAGAGGAAAAGGGTCTCTAACTCCGAGGGTCAAAACCCCAAGAAGAGAACAGCCCATAAACCCAAGAGGAACACAATCCCGCTGACTATGGAGTCAGTCCAAAGACTAAGGGAAGAAGAAGAAGAAGAAGAAGAAGAAGAAAAAGAGAAAGAAGATAATTCCGGGATGGTGGCCCGTGCGCGAGCTAGC